AGCTATAATCTTCAAATATTCAAATGTAATATCAATCGACATCTTCTAATGCCTTGATTCTGATCCCCGTCCTTCTCTATATCCTTTCTTCAAACACTCATCCTTACTCTTGCTCTCACTCTCTGTAACCCATTGCATGCTAGTGGCACTCTTGCTTTGTTTAGAGTGAGATGCTTAAAAAAAAAAAAAAAAACAGGTCATTGTGATTATGAATCAATAGTTGTAACACTGTTCACCAGTAAAAATTTTCAACTAAAAGAGAAAATATTCTCCAAACTGAAATTATTTTGTTAATTTATAATTAACGTTATGTGTAGATTCATTCTTCTCGCATTTTAATATTGGCTTCTATTAAATCAATATATTCCTTCTCAAAATGATATAAATATATACAAAAGTTTAACACTGGGGGAGGAGAGAATGTTAACACCCAAATTTCTGATGAAATTTATTTAACTATAAATGCTATCTTTGAAAAATAAAATAATCATGAGAAAAATTCTAAGATAAATTTTACTATTAGCAATTTCTACTTTTATATACAATTATTTCACAAATGTCAATTTAAATACATACAAGAAAAGAAAAAAAAAGATTTCAGGTAGATTTAAGACCCAATGTTTTTTTTCTTTTTTTTTTTAAAAATGTACTTTTGATGATGTTTCAGGTTTCTACCTTCTATCAATCAAATAATTAACATTTTGCTTAACAAATAATAAATTGGAGAATATAGATGCAAAAAGAATTATGTAAAATAATAAATGCTTCAAAACTAAAAGTACATTTAACTTTCCATCAATATTTATCTTATTGATTTCCTTTTAAAAATATTTAAAACATTTAGATTTAGGCGACTATGTAGGCTATTAAATACACAGTTCAGTAAAGCCAATTTTTTTCATTCTTTTTAATATTTGCTATTTACAGATTGAAAAATAAACCTTCACAATTTATAAAGTGTGATATTTTACTTTTAACTACAAAAAAAGATCAATTTTATTTAAATTACACATGAACCAGAAAGTTTGAGAAGAAATTAAATTTGAAGAATTCATCTAATGAACACCACAACCATTTGCATTATTTACATGCTTTCTGTTGTCTTCATCTTGTTATTATCACAATGTTTCGACTGTTGTGCCCACTGGCCTTCATCAGGTGCTTGTCAGTCCAGATAAACATCAAGAAATTTTGAATTGAACCCTTTATTCAATCTACAGTGGTAGATTGTTCTCTCTATGCTGACCACGTCTAGGGATATCTTGTCTAGTTCTTATTTATGAAGATAAGGGGAATAGATGATGAGTAACTCTTAAAGAGGTTAAGATTGTCATGTTCAGGGAAACATCTATGTAAGAATCTGTTTCACAAAGTTGTTGGGAAAAAGCTGAGTGAAACTTTCTTTTTACATTTGGAAAAATGGAGGAAATGAGGCTGAATTAACTCTGTGGAAGTAGTGTGGAGTGTGTCCTAATAGTAAATGTTTAACTGGTGAAACTAAAGAATGAAGCTTACCTGAATATTTGCCATGGAAACAGTGATAGAGTAGCAATAGGCTTGTCACATCACACCTGTAGAAAAAGGTACTATACTAGGGATAATGAAGATTCATGGAGAACATTTTTCTGATAGAATTAACAAGTGAAATTTTGCTTGACTTGAGCCAACAGTGAAAAAAAAATAAAACCAAAAAATGGCAGCCTTCCAATGTTCATTTTGATTGCCAGTTTGAACAAAGATTTGAAGAATATTGGATTACTCAGTTTATATTAAATGTTATAAGAGAAATACAATATATAAACTATATATCAAACTAATGGTGGATAATTTAATTTTTTTTCCATTTTGTCATTCAATTACCCATTAAATGCTATTTCTAAAAAAATTCCTACCATTACTAGAAAGAGCGATAACACTTACTAGAGATGAGAAACTTATTTTTCTGAAAACAGTTTTAAGAGAAAGATTTTATAACTTCCAATCAACAGTTGTACTAACTGTTCAGCTAATGAATGTCAAATGTTTCCTTATAAGGAAACATCTATTCTCACCATTCCATTACAAAATAACTGCACTTAAGTAATCAGCATTCAAAACAGATGTAATATAAATGGTAATAATCATTCAGTACTGATTTGGCCACTACTTGTATTTTATCATCTGTTAAAGGTTTTGAGAATCTTATACGTAACAAATATTTCAAGGTACAGGGTGTGATGGGTAAATTGCGGCCATTTTATATTTTTAATTTCTTGCATGCCTATTGTTTGTTTTTGTCAACTGCATAGTATAGTAGGGTCACTTGAGTACCATCTTTGAGAAAAAGAGCATCATGATGCAATTCACTCTGCCAGAAATTTGAAAATGACATGCTGTACTGCTTGGCATTCATGCCAGGAGCTCCACTAAAAACATTTCAGTGTATTTGGATGTCAATCTGAGGACAGTGCAGAGGATTCGGAAAGAGTTGGATGAGTCTAATGGTGATTATGAAGGTACAGCAGCTTGAAAATTCACTCTAATCATTCTGATAAGAACTACCAATTTTGTTGGTGAGGCCTCAGACACAACACAGAGGCCTACATCAAGTGCCTAGAAGAGGTAGAGCTGCCCTGGGTCAAGAGGGTAGTTGCTGGAAGATCCTATGTGTCAAAGGACTCTACACCATGCCACACAAGCAGGAGAACCCAGTCATGGCTGTCAGATAATTTCTGCGATAACATCACCCCTTATATCTGGCCACCTAATTCCCCAGACTGCAATCCCCTTGATTATGTGCAGGGCACAGTTGAGTAAAAAAATCAACAAAACTCCTTGTAACATGAAAGATGAGCTGAAGGCAAGGATTATGGCAGCATTCACTAACAAGGAGATTGTCCAGAAGAGTTGCAAGAGATTCCAAAGTAGTCTGGAGGCCATGCTTGAAGCCAATGGAGATTTTATTGAATAAATTTACTCTTCAGCATTTCAAGATATTTTGTGTAATTCTGATAAGTATATCTCTTAAAATGAGATGTCAGTGTTAGTTTCATTTTTTTTGAGTACTTTACACGACAAATTTATCCATCGCGCCCTGTTTATAATTAATAATAGTCATTGACATCATTAAATGATCCCGATTCCCGTTTCAGAAATTTAATAGTGACTCCAACATTAATTCTTTGGAGAATACTACCAATACCACGCTTGGGATGGGGAGGGACTTGAGGGCTGAGCATCCCCATATTTTTATTCAAAAAGACACTTTATTTTTCAATTTAAATACTAACATAAATACTCTGTTAATGTTGTTTTCAAATAAATCAAACTTTGATAAAAGTTCATTGACCTTTTTCCAAATTATTATTAATAAAAATGTAAATAAACTTAAATTAATCATTTTTTCAAGCAAAAACTATAGCGAGCCTTATTCTTCAAAAAATAATTACAGGTAACCCGGATATAAGAGAGTTGTCGGAACCAGAGGAGAAGTCTCTTATATCCGGGTTTGGTCTATTTTATATACATTAACACGGGCTCTAATTTGGGACCAGAGAAAATCTCTCTTATATCCGGGTTTCTCTTATATCCGGGTTACACTGTATTTGCTATTTATTTTAGAGGGGAATTTCAATTTTTTTAAGTAAAGTTTTACTGTTAAACATTTCTCGGTAAATGAATTTAATTACTATTTTGAAAGAGAGTAGAGAAGCAAGCAAGATACATTGAGAATTTAGTTTTGAAAAGCAATTATGTTTAAATTTCAAATTATATTTGTATTTGAAAAGAAAAAAAAACTTGTTAAATAAAATGACTTATTGGATTGCCAACATTAGTCATGTTGAATTTGTTTTACGAATTTAACTATATAGTTTTTTGGTTTAAAACTTAATTGAAAATTATTTACTTTTTTATGTTAGTTACAAAACAAAGAAACAATGAAGTTTATTTTTTAAAGAGTGAATAAAAAAATTATTTTCCATAAGATGGCTGAAAAATATTAATAAATAATACAAACAAGCAACTGCTCTTTAGGGTGATGCTGAGTCTGTATACAAACCTCTCATCAATGAACTAGGGGTCTGTTAAAGTTGATCATCCATAGATGGGAATGGATTATTTTTTAGTTATAAAACTACCAGGAGTTGTGATTATAAAATAAATACATACTCATAGCCCACAGTTTTTGAAATACGTCACTGACGATTTGGAAGTTTTTTTGTCTGTTGCATCTGAAGTCCATTGATGGGTAGTTTGTCTGTATATTTATTTTGTAGCCAGACACACACACGAATATTTGAATAAGTAAATATTAAACTTTTTGTAAAATAAATGTATTTAATTATATTCTTCTTTTACATTTACTTTGTTGTTTTAGTCATTTTTTTTTAAAGTTACACTTTTTTTTATTTACTATAGATGTGAAAATAAATTCAAGTTTAATTTAAGTTCTTAATTTATGTTTGTTTACTTTTTTTATTAATAATCCCTTCCAATATAAATAGTAAATAATTATTTTTTGAAGAAGGTTCGCTATAGTTTTTGCTTTAAAATTGATTAAATTAAATTTGTATAAAAATATATTAATTTCCAGACACACCCTCAAATATTTGAATAAAATAAATAAAAAACTATTTTCAAATAATTGTATTTAATATTTTTTAAATTTACTTTGTTGTTTTAATATTGATCTGTTTTAAAGTTTCACATCTATAGTAAATAAAAGTGTAAGTAAATTCAAGAGAATAGAAATTTTAAAAATACATACTTTGATAGCATTTAAGTAGAATAAAAAAGTAAAAATGGTAATCTGATTCAAGAATAAGAATTCTTACCGTTCATTTTTTCTTTTTAATTCTGAGAATTTCAAATGCCTTCTAATGCATATTAATTTTAAGATATCTTTGTAAATACAAATCATACAATGATTTTTTTTTTTTTACAAAAAGCTAGCTTGGGTGATAATGAGTCTGTATAGATATTTACTTTGTCATAACTATTTTTCATCCATACAACTGAACAGATAGACATAGAGATAGATATAGAGATAGATAGATAGAGATAGATAGATATAGAGGGATAGATTTTTAGATATAGAGATAGATTTAGATACCAGGCATGACACATAGATAGATATAGAGATAGACGATCAGAGATAGATAGATTTAGATGATAGATAGAGATGAGATAGATAGAATTAGATATAGAAGAGATGGATATAGATATAGATAGATATAGATAGATACAGGGATAGATAGATAGAGATAGATAGATATAGAGATAGATAGATATAGATAGATAGATATAGAGATAGATAGATATTGAGATGGATGGATAGATAGAGATAGATGATATAGAGATAGATAGATATAGAGATAGATAGATATAGATAGATAGATATTATAGAGATAGAGATAGATAGATATAGAGATAGATAGATATAGATAGATAGATATAGAGATTAATAGATATAGATAGATAGATATAGATAGATGGATATAGGATAGATAGATAGAAAGATTTAGAGATAGATATAGATAGATAGATGAGAGATGGATATGGGATAGATAGATAGATATAGAGAGATAGATAGAGAAATAGATAGATAGAGATAGAGATAGATATATATAGATATAGATAGATATAGATAGATAGATAGAGAGGAGATAGATATAGATAGATAGATATAGATAGATAGATAGATATAGAGAGATAGATATAGATAGATAGATATATATAGAGATAGAGATAGATAGATAGATAGATAGATAGATGGATGTGAGATAGATAGATATGGATAGATAGATAGATAGACAGATAGATAGATATAGATAGATAGATGGATGGAGATACATGGATAGATAGATAGATATAGATAGATATGGATATAGATAGATAGATAGATAGATAGATATAGATAGATAGATATAGATAGATAGATAGATAAATAGATAGATATAGATAGATAGATAGATATAGATAGATAAAAGATAGATAGATATAGATAGATAGATATAGATAGATAGATAGATATAGATAGATAGATATAGAAGATAGATAGATAGATAGATATAGATAGATAGATAGATATAGATAGATAGATTCACCCCAAACCAGGTGATAAAGCCATTAAGATGTAAGGGGTTCTGAGAGTGAAAGAATCTAAGAAAAATCATTATCAAGGAGTGAAGACAATAAAAGATCAGGATTCAAGGAAACAGAAATGATGATAGACATTACATTTAAATAAAATATAAATTAGCCCATTATTACCCACTATCCTCATACTGGGGTGAGGGGGGCATTAATGGATTTTAGATAGAAACCTATGATAAAAGATTTTTATTTCAATTTTTTATAATTTATACCAGATTTTAGTGTGGACATTAATAGGTAGAAGTATTTTCTTAAACAAATAAACAAACAAACAAAAAAAAAAAAACTATAAAAAGGAAAGCTTGATGACTTAATTTTGTAATGCCCATTGTAAGAGAGACTTTGCAAATCAGATACAACAAAAGCAATGCCTTTGAACAATACTCAGTCAGATGCTGCTAATTCACATATATATTTTTATAAGGTCAACTGTGCTTGCTCTTTAGCAATCCATGTTCAAACCCAAGTGTCTGCATATGACAATCAGATGATCCAAAGTAAAAAAAAAAAAAAATAAAAATAAACAACTATATAATTTTACTGGTTTACATTACAAAAATACAGTGTTAACCAAAATCTTTATCAGTTTATATCTTACTTATTATAAAATGCAGAGTGTGTGTGTGTCTGTAACGTTTATGTATTGGATCGGATTTCCTACATTTTTCAACCGATTTCAACAAAACTTCACAGGACTACATAAAACTACCTTGTGGTGGTTCTAACAGCGCCAAAATGGGAAAAATATAATTGTTTTTGCACAAAATCAATTTGAAAACACGATTAAGAGACATCGTGAAAATGGAAGGGGACAACTCACATCGGGTTGTTTTGTGTGTGGGTTCCTTTAAATATGGGGAGCGGATTTCCTATATTTTTCAGCCGATAAAACAAAACTTCTTTTTTTTTTTTTTTGGCAGGTAGTGTTTTTATTCTCTTGCACACTTTTTTTTTTTTATTTTTAACATTCAGAATGCTTTAAAAATTCCATTTACAAGACAATTATTTATAATAAAATTTATTCAATCGGGAGACTCATAACGATTGAAAACAATGTTTTTGTTTGGGTTTGACCAATTGTAAAAATAAAAAAAAACAACTAATTAAGACATGCGTGTCCGTCAACCTTAAAACAATAATCTCAATAATCTTTACTGATTGTACGAATACAAACATCGGATAAATTCTTTTTTATCTTTAGGGAAAGATAATGAAATCTAAACATACACAAGTCCTAACTAAAAATAATAACCAGAACGGGAAACTACTTTAAATACACATGGTGTCCAATTTTTTACTGTATTCAATAAGTAAAAATCATAAATTGTAAAAAGATTATTATTACAGAAAGGCTACTAAATGAATAAGATTTGTTAGATCATAATTAATAAACCCAAATAAAGTTAATATTTTTTTGTATTAGAAACAACGAGTGGAAAATATATTCAAATCAGAATTCTAATTATGAATCACCACAAGCAAAATATGCAATTTTTTTTACTGTATTCAATAAGTAAAAATCATAAATTGTAAAACTAAAAGATTACAGAAAGGCTACGTACATTTTTCAACTGATTTCAACAAAACTTCACTTCTTTTTTTTTTTGGCATGTAGTGTTTCTTATTGTCTTGCATGCTTTTTTCTTTATTTTTACATTCAGAATGCTTTAAAAATTCCATTTCCAAGACAATTGTTTATAATAAAATTCTATTCAACCGGTAGAGACTCATAACGATTGAAAACAATGTTTTTGTTTGAGTTTGACCAATTCAAAAAAAAAAAAAAAAAAAAAAAAAAAATTAAGACATGCGTGTCCGTCAACCTTAAACAATAATCTTTGTCAATTTTATTTTTCAGTCTTTATGATGGTGGATACTAGATCTATCTCTTACTGTTATATCCCCGGGCTCTACTGCTAGTATAGTGTGTATATATATATAATATATATATACACACACACAAACAAACAAACATGAGGCAGGTTTACTTTCAATAAAAATTTCATATGAAATTGCAAGAAATAAAATAAATAGATAAACAAATATAAAAAAAAAAAAAAAATGAAGATTACTCTTGTGGAAAAATTAAATAAAACCAATAAAGAAAATAAAGAAAAAAAAAAAAGAAATTCATTTTCTCATGATGCAAGTTATAAAGAAACTGAAAAGGAATTTTGTTCATATGTGCAATTTCATAACCTCTATCTTTCTCTTTTCCACTTTCCAACATCGTTTGGGTGCGTTTTGACAGCCCTACTCATGAAGTAAGTGAATTGGTTATTCCAACACAACTAAAAACCATTTTAAGTATTATCCTAACTTCTGAACCAAAAAGGAAAATGGACAAACCCAAGAGACTTCAAGAACTTTGTTTCACTAGTCACTATAAAAAGAAATGTCTAGTAGAAACTCAAGTGCTGTATGCGTCTTATCTTCTTTGTTTACATATTGAAAACCCACCCACATAAAATACACACAAACATGCAACTTGTTAACATCCATACTAGTAAATTAAAATAAAAGAGCAAAGAAAATGTTTTATAAAAGCTTTCAATTTCATATAAACCATAAATATTGTTTCCAAATTACACATCTAAAATCATTAATCAAAATTATTTTTTTTAAATTGCTACATTCTTAATATTCATATCAGATGAGATACTTGTAAATAAAAATATTGGCTAAAATAAGGACTGACTAAAGTGGAAAAGCTGCACAATGTAATTAAAAGGCTCAGTTTTTTTAATACTATTAAAATACAAAGTAATAGAATTGTAAGCATTGCTTTTAAGAAATATTTCATTAATATTCTGATTAAAGGACTAAATTTATAGGGCCAAAACTTGGTTTCAAAGTCATTTATGCTTACACAAATCTGATTTCCAACATAAATTATATGGAAATTTCAACAGTCAAAATCTTAATCAATACTTATACAGGTTATTGATAGATGAAAATCTAAACTGTTTAAAATACAGCAAAATAATTATATAGAAATTAATTAGTATTTTGAAAGAAAGATTTTAATAATAATTTCTTGAAAAATAAATCAACATTGCTACCTGATAGTGAAAAACAAACAACCAAAAAATGTTTATAGAGAAAATTCTGACAATGTAGCAAACTTCTCAAGTGTCTGGAAAGACAATGGAATAAAACAATGTTTAGTGTTTTAATCAGAGTTTAAACATCATTTGATGTCATTCCCTCAAATTATTGTCAGAATTGCAAGAAATTTGGAAAGCATGGAGCTGGAAGGGAGTTTCACAAGCAAGAAGTGTGAGAGAAGAAACTGTTAGTATAGAATTTACAGCTACATCTAGCCAGTTCAAGTGTAAACTGATAAAATCTCAACACAAGTCTAGTACTGCACTTAAATTCAAAAACTCTACATACCATATCAAAGAGCTCATTTGAACAATTACCATTAAAGTATTTATAGAAAAGACAGAGGCAAATTTATGGTGGTAGGAAAGTGAATGGAGCTGAGCTGCCAGCTCAGGACCAATAATATTGCAGATTCTTTGGATTTTATCAAGGAGCTCTAGGTAACTAGCAGGAGCACTGAACCATATGTAGCAGCAATATTCTAAGCATGGATGAATGGTAGACTTATAGATATGTAAGATAGATTCTAGAGAGAAAAACTGGCTCACCAGACATAGTGAACTGAGATTTCTTAGCAGCTGACCTAGCAATGGATCTTCTTTCCACTTCATTCCAACAGAGAACATGATCCCAAGAAGGTGCAACAAGTCACTTTCCTGGAGAATAGCATTAGCCATGCTGGTGGAAGGCAGCAAGGGGTCTCTCAGATGATTAATAGAAAGAAGTTTAGTATTGGAGGCATTAAAATTAACAAGCCATCTTTTGTCCCAGCTAACTACGGACTTGAGGTTTTTTCAGACATCAGCTGCCATATTGACCTTGTCAAACTGATAAGCCTTACTATCAAAAATTTTTGTGACGTCAGTGTGAATACCAAGTTGAGAGTTGATGTCATCAGAAAGGTCATTAATGAAAATTAAAAATAGAGTCAGACCAAGATGGAGCCCTGGGGGACAAACTGTATTAATATGAAAAGATTTAGATGAGTGGCCATTCAGAATAACTCTCATTTCATGATTTTATAGTAAAGACTGCATCAGTCCAAAAAAGTGTCTGGAGACACTGTAACTTTTAACTTGTAGAGAGGACCTGAATGTCAGACCCTGTCAAAAGCTTTTGAGATGTCCAATGCAACAGATTAGTATCAACATTTTTATCTAGAGTATGATAAACTCTTTCCACAAATATCATCAGTAGTCAACCTGGAGAAACAAAAGCCATATTGTTTGTCTGAGAAAAGGCCCTGCAATGTGAGAGAATGAATTAATTCACCATTGATGAGGGTCTCTAGTAGTTTCCAAAAAAGAGGTAGAAGGATAATAGGCCGATAGTTGGAGGGGTCAAATGACTTACCAGAGTTCGTAAAAATTGAACAAAAGATGATGACATCCAGCAGGCATTTAGAACACAGTTTAAAGAGAACAGGAGCCAGTTCAGGAGCACACTTCTTAATGATTATTACAAGGACACCACTGGGTACACTTGCTTTTGTGGGGATCTAGGTTAGAGATGATAGTAGAAACCATGGAAGGGGTTATATGCATATCACTCAACAGAGACTTACTTCTAGAAGGGAAGTTACGCAGGGATATTCCAGATGAGTCAATAGAATTTGAGGAGAATTTACAGGCAAAGCATTCATCTTTATTAGCAAAGGATGATAACACCTCAAATCGATTGAAGAGGGAGGAATAGAGACTTTACACTTATTTAATGCCCTATTACAAAGCCGCCAGTAATCGTGAAAGCCAAAGTGAGAGCAAACATATTGCAAGTATTTTCTTTTTACATTTTGCAATTTCAATTTTTTTTAAATACATTTCTTGATTTACTCAAATGATTTAAGATATTAGAAAATTGATTTAAACTAAAGGACATTTAC